GGCAGCCCTATTTTCATCCTTGAGAACGGCACTTCTATCAAGAAAGGAACATACAATGGAATAAAGATAATCACTCGGACTTATTATTGTATGCCCGTGTAGTGTTGATTAGAGTCTGATTAGCTCTCTCAGGGAACACTGGTTAGATTCAATGCCAGGACGTTTGCTATAGCTGCCTATTTGCTGGGGATAATACCAAATACAATGCATATTGTCATGAATAATTAACTAAACTAGCATTACAAGAAAAGGAATTTTTTTAATATAATTCAAAACTGTAGTTTGCAGAGGGGCTTTGCAGTAAAATATTGTAACACCTCACTCCCATCCTAAGCAGACCGCAAGTAATTACAATCTATAAAGGAATATTGTTTTAATATGGAAATGGAATCCTCGTCATAGTTCACTCAGTGCAGCCTGTCATATAATTTTATGGCAACATTCCTGAGGGAGAAGCCGAGGCTTTCTCTCTGCTAGCAGCCTGGTTTCAGTTGAGTGGGAGCAGTGAGTCTGATGTGTTTGTCTGTTAAATCTGATAACAGTATTTTATCAGTTAGCACTAACTACTGATGTATCTGCACAGTCTTAATTAAAGAGACTACCATGGACAGATAAGCCAGAACGATGGGAATGTTTCATTGATAAGTACATCTGCCTAAATAAGGAACCGATTGCGATGTTAACAGGAAAGATAATTAGTCGTTTTCGGCCAACGTTATGTAGAGATGAATAACCTCATCATGCCCAACAGTTCTCAGTCCTGCAATGACGCACTTTGAATCAGGGTGACATTGTGGAAGCGTATAGACTCCTTGCAGCCTATTTCAGGCAGAGATACTAAGATATTTGTGCTCCAGTACTTTGTCTGATCAAAGTGCCGATATGTAGAGCACAGACTTGTGTCTTTGCTCTAAGCTGTGTGGGTTTGAGCCCCTGCGCTGCCACTTTGCACTAATATAGTGTTGTGATTCAGTGATAAGGTCATCAGGCTGCCAGTCAGGGCCGAGAGCCATGTCTGTGTTCTGTATCGGTTTCCTGTAGCCCTCTAAATGTCTGACAGGATCCAGAGCCCGGACGGCAGTGTGGCACCATCCTTCACTTGGCAAGCTCGCCATATGCACATTTCATCATGTGAAATAGAGATGAGGCCAAGAGTCTCCGAGCCGGCGAGTGACAGAAAGTCCCTGTCACATGAATTAACTCCTGTATGTATGATGGAGCGCTGGCCGTGGCTCAGGGCACTTTACAAACCCTACCTCCCCCCTTCTTCGCCTTACTATTATCCTCCTTCAGGCTTATTGCATGGAGCCCATTCATCTGTTCAGTGTTGAAACATGGCAGAGAGCAATGATATCTGATGGCACCTCCGAGCATCCACCAAGTATACAAGGACCCGCCTCGGCAAAGAGAGAGAGTGGAGGGTGGGCTGAGTGGTGAGTGGTGGGTAGTGGGTGGGGGACGGTGGGCAGCATGGCTAAAGCCTTGAAATTGAATGTGCATTGCAGGTCTTTGTGGTGGTCATTGTGTTTATGACTTCGAAGACTAGGTAATTATTTGATGTGGAAATACACCAATCTTAACAACGTAAATAGAAAAGTGAAGCAGCCACTGGGATAGAAAACCAATCCACCATGCCACCACCATTCATTGAGATGCAGATTTGATGTAGGTCCTGTAATATTATTGATAGGGGAAAATACATAAACAACAGTTTTATCCTAGAGGTTGCAATGTTGAGGCGGTAGGACTGGAAGAAAAGCTTGTGAAGCGTTAAATGAAAATGGTTCATCGTCTGGGGACCTTGAAGGTGTCATTTCATGCCAATCAGATCTTTTGATTCGATTTACTACTTGGGTTAAAATGAGAAACTGCAAGGCAAGGATTCTCCAGTCAGTATTTCTTATATTTGAACAGTGTAGTATATTTTGCTTTTTTCCTTACATTTCTTGTCATATGATGACATTCAGGAAGAATATTATTGTCTTTCTTATCATTTCAGCACTGCAATTAGCATTTAAGAGAAAAGTAGGCCTATTCGAAAGATAATTGGAGCAAAACAACTTTCTTTCTGGAGTAGAAAACTAAAATGCACATGAGGGGGAAGCAGGTCAAAAAAATAAGATTTTGATTTGAAATATGCCCAGAATAGATACATAGCTTTGCAATTTGCCCAGGCAATCTGTGATATATATGAATTATTCAGTCTGCAACAACATTGTATCCGTCACTCTCTACTGCAAGAACAAAACACAATAAAAAAGGAATATTTTAATAAATAGTGCAACTGAGATTTATAGAGAAAGTCTAGCTTTACCTGTCATGACTTGACTATATTGTTACTTTCAGATGTTAGTTAAATGGCCATTTCCGTGCCATACCTCCCCTTGCCTGCCACTAATCTTGCACTCCCACTGTTAAATATAATGTTCTAGAGACCAAAGAAACTCAGCCTTAATACTGACCAAAGTGTTGGCCAAGGGAAAATGTGTCATAACGGTGACACTGAAGTAAAGGCCACTAGATTACAGAAATGGGATCCATTATCTCCATTTTCCAATTTGCGGCAGTGACCAGAAGATATTTTGACCCTATGATGTCGCGAAAAGAAAGGTCACGTGGGAAGCATTATTAACAAAACTACACTCATCATCTAGAATATTTCCAAGATGTCCTCTGCTCCAAAAAAGAGTATCTGGAACATCTCATCAGTAATTTGTGTTGATCAGCAACCCTTTTTAACCTTTTCCATTATTACCGTAATGTCATGGTACAGAGCAGTTAGCGTCTGACTCGATGAACCTTGACGCTGTAGGGAAGCCTCTGGAAGCAGCAGCGTCAAGGAGTGATGATTGGTGAATTCCGGGGGATTGACCTAACACGAACTGCAGCACACGTTCTTCTCTAATCTCCCTTTGCCGAGCTGCTCTTATTTCAGTGTCAGCGTGAATGGCTTTCACTGGCAGCTTTCCATTCAAGAAAAGAAGCAAGAAACTATGTGACTTTTTCAGATCATCACAAAGGATCTTTTCCTGAACTTCACTATTCAGGCAGATAAGTTGATATGGTTATCATGACTTCACATGCATTTATATTGCACTTTATTATGAAATGTGCTCAGTTGAAGCCGAGTCAGATGTAATATTCTCAATCATTAATATTATTCAGCAGCTTATTGATTGTTTTTTTTATGTTCTTATTTGAGGCTGCAACAAACCTCCCTTTGATTCTAACTGACAAAGTGCTATGGAAAATGTGTTTTCCACATACTGTACTGTATATTTAATTAGTTCTTCCAAATTAGTTTTTGAAAGCAGCAAACACCCTTGAGCAATTTACTGCGTTTTTGTGTTTATTTTTTTTTAAAAACACAAAACTATTAACAGTTAATAATTCCCTCAAACGCACCGGGATGGCCTCACTAAAAGACAATTAAATATGTTCCCTCTGGTTTCCAAATGATTTACCCAAACAAAACTGCTGCCTCAACATTAAGCGCTCAATGAGACTGTCAGCATACAAAAGGCCACACAGAGGGTTCATTTTTTAAATCATGATATTAAAACATCATTGTTACAGCTCTTTTGTTCGCCCATGGCTGCTGGGAACGGTTCAATGTTATTCATTAACAACAATCATGGCAGCCATCAAAGAGCTACAGCTGCGGTTCTGGGAACAAAGCTCATCTCTTCCCTTTGACAATAGCTCGACACAGGTGTACTGTATGCTAACATTCTAAACTGCTCTTGCTGCATTCATTCACCTTTTAGTGTTGCAAATACTTGATTTCATCCAAAATCACTCAATTTGTATAATGTTATTCAAATTGGAAATATTTTCATTGACGTTCATCTCATATGAAGTAAAAAGGGATTACCTTCTTAACTTGCTTGACATGGAAAAGTTGAGATGATGAAGAGCATTTATTTATTAATGATTTCCCCTCCCAAGTAGTCCATTTGCAGTGAAAAACACCCTTGTGGATTCTAAGTTTCCCCAGTTTGTGTAATTAATTTAGAGATCACATTCTGACAAACTTGAAAGAAAAAAAAAATTGCTTGGCCGCAGCTAAATTCAGGCCATGGAGTCATCCATCAATTTATAATGCCTGGAGAACTCTGAAGCAATTCCACACATACACACACACACGCGCACTGAGATCTCTGAGCAAGGTAATCATGGCTTTTAGACATTCTCTCCATTTGTCGTTCAGTAGAGCTTAACTTGGCTTGAAAATTGGTCTGTTGAAGGACCACAGTGCCCAGCAGCTACTTCCATGTCGACTGAACACATATTATGTCAGCCAGTGGTGCATGTTGCATTAACTAGTTCAACAGTCAAATTACAAAATGTATCTTTTAATATTTTAAATATAATTGTGTAGCCTCTGGGACGAATGTATAACATATAGTAGCTGATCTCAAACACTATTTCAGGGTATTAACTGTATTGTATTGGGTTTAACTAAATACAAAATCATTCTAACTAAGGTATGTTTCTACAATGCTGTTGTTTTTCTGTTGAACAGTTGTTGAACAGAAAATATATATCATAATGTCAGGGTCTAAATTCTATCAAATTTGACTACATCCATGCCAATTAAAAAAAAACAGTCACTATGTTTTTACTTCCCTTTCGCATTCATATCTTAGAGCTTTAGACTTGTACTGTAGGCTTGTTAACTCTGCAGTTATGATTCACAAAATAGAAAATGTGCTTTTAACAGATTCTTGGAAGGATCTTTGTTTTCCACAGCATCACTGTACGTCACTTTAGAGTGCAGGCAGGCATACTGTATTTAAACTGAATAATCACTCCAACCTGCTGCTGCAACCTTCTCATATTTATATTTGAAAATGTAAATAAGCGTATTAAACTGGTCAGTGCTTTAAAACCGGGCCTTGTGTCACACTGCCTGTTCAAACCTTTAGAAGACCAGTTGCTCCTCTAATATGTTCATTACAGTCTCATAATACTTTGTTCCTGGCTGTTGTGTTTGGCAGGCCAGTTGGCGGTGGGAACCTGTGAGATCGTGATGCTCAACAGAGACAGTAGCGTTCCCAGACGGACCATCGCCAGGCAGACGGCCCGCTGCGCCTGCCGGAGAGGCCAGATCGCCGGGACCACCAGGGCCAGGCCAGCGTGTGTGGAAGGTGAGTTCAAAGACCTTTCTAGCCTAGGGGAAAGGAAATTATTTTAACAGATTTGAGTTGTAAAGTCAAAACAAGAGGCCCAATGGCATAAATCAAACCGGGTTGAGAGGGTTACTTTAACAAAGCATCCTGTTACAGTTCTTAATTACCTGTAAAAAAAAAGAAGTAACCAATTTCAAATAATTTAACTTAAGTGTATGACAGAACCATGTAACCATAGAAAAGAAGAAACCAAGATATTACGTTTTAAAATAGTGTCCTCTGTGTCCTCCTTTTACAAGAAACCAAATATGCTCTTCTTTTATAAAAGCCACTGAAATGTAAAAAAGAGAAGAAATCTCGAGCCAAAACAAGCCTATGGATTCCAGATTACATTTTAAGATAGGCTAACTAATGTATTGTATCGTTTCACTAAGGTTGAAGTGAAAGAAATACAATAAAAGTATACACAGGTTTTTTTTCAACAAATCCATTGTTCACCTAGTCCATTTACAAATGTATGTAAGCAATGATGAAATGTCCCTCAGCTGGTCCTTGGGAACCATAGCAACAGTCACATTTTCTCTGTAATTGAATTTATTGGAAGCTTTGCCATTTATTGAAATACAACCATTTTTATTTCCATGATAGACTCACCATGATTTATCATTCTGGCAGTGGGTCAGCCCCCTCTAATGTTAGCTTATATGGGGTCCACTGCATGAATCCCTACCTCAGACCACTGTATTACTTGCACAGCAGTTTAAAGCAGTGATTAAACTATATTTACTATGTGCATCTATTTAGTTGTAAGCATCTTTTTCCTTTAATGTGCACCATTGGATAACTGCGTTTGAAGCAATGGTGAATATGAAGTTGATGATGTACTGTGAAGTCAAGTTATGAATATTTAGTCAAGACACAGTTTAGCACATAAGCCCCTGTAAAATGGTAAATGGTATTTCTTAAACTCAAACGGACCTTAATAAGAGCTTCAGATGCTCATGGGCAAATTGGGCATTAGACAGAGCTACATTAGCTGTTGTTGCTTATTTCTTGTCTTTATGCTAAGCTTAGGTAATCAGCTGCTTACAGTCGCTTCATATTAAACTAACAGAAATTAGCGTGGTAATGGGAAGCTCTTTAAAATATAACATATAAACACATTATAACCAACTCAAACAAAATCCAATCCCAGTTGGAGACACTTTTTGTTAATCCTCTTTATAATGTATTACATGAAATAACATTCAAGTTAAATACAGCAGAGACTAAAAATACACAAAATAAATAGTGGTAATGACATGTAGTATCATTAACTCTGCTACAACAGAATCCACAAGCATTTTAGTCTGACATTTTGACGTAACGGGAACATTGTGAAAAATCAGAACAGGAAAAGCCCAGGTGTAACTATTACCATTATTGATGGATCTATTCCATTATATGTACCATTCTTCTGAACCTGTGTGCATAACACAAAGGCCCTACATTGGGCACAGCAGAGTGCAATGCAGTCGCTTTAAATTTCCTATCAGTCGCAACCATTTATAGTCACCTTATCCCTGCTCAAATACACACATACATTCTTTTTTTGTTTGTCTTAATTGAACAAAGAACATACATAACAATACTACTCCAAACGAGAAGAGATCATACATCCAGACTTTAGCTAATTGCTCCTTTCAATCTGCAGGTACACACAAAACAATCACTTACACAAAACATTACTCAGAGTCTACCACACTAACTATTATTAAGCCGATTACAGTTACAAGTACAAATATATAAAATATTAATACCAGCACATTTATCTGTACCATTATAACATTTCAACTCATTTCAAAACACAAATCACATTCAAATTAGGGTTGGAAAGACTGATTGCTCAATATTCACTTTTTGGGAGAAAAGAGTGAAAGTCTGTGTGTGCACGTTTTAAGCTCAGCAGGAATGAAATGTCAGAAAGCAGATTGTGCCTCAGTGGGATGTTTAAATATACATATAGGACAGATCTTAAGGTTCTGCCCATTTGCTCGGCTGGAAAAAGCTCCTCAATGGCTGAAAAGCAGCGTTTTAAATGATCTTGAATACCAATCATACTTATAAAACAGAGTGAGATTTTCAAAATGTAGGAGGTTGTATTGAGAAATATATTGCAATGATGGTGATTTAATGATTTCTTAACAAAAACGTTTAAGGCTTGTTTAAAAAGAACATCAATTGGTTTCAGCACAGTCTTACTTGTCTGGGACTGGCAGGTTATACAATACTGAAGATATGAGTGTCATGGCTTGCAAAAAAAGTTTTGGAGACTTCTATTGTCAACTAGTTCCTATTGTGTTTGAGTTTAAAAATCGGATATTTCAATTTTCCGACTATGTTTTTAACATTTGGAATAAATCATTTAAATCGACAAAAAAAAAATCCCATAAGGATGAGGCTGACACGATAGTCAAGCGTAACAGCGTTTAGTGTCTGAGCTGTACAGCTGCATGAATATGATTGGGTATAACTAGCTACAGCTTTGAATGAGCCGTCCATTGTAAAGCATGCTGCAAAGAGCTGATGAAATCAGCTAACACAGGCACAACTTCAGCCTTCTACCTGAACCAAGGCAACAATTCATCAATTACATGTGTGCTTTTCCTTGTGAGAAATATAAAATGTCCCTTGTCAGATTTTCCTTTCCTACCCATTCATGAATAGTGGGCCAGTAGTTGTATTCTATTAGTCTGTTGACACTGGACCTTTCATTTGTAAAAAAAAAAAAAGGTCCAGTAGGGAGGTTACATGTGTTACATGATATAAGTGATTTTGTTACATACAATGTTTATGTAAGGGCTACTCTTAATTGCAACAGGCATGGCTAAAAGTCATAGTAGCTTTGCTAAAGGCTCAAATAAATCCTCCACACTTTAAAAATGGAGCATCTTCAGTAGTATGGAAATTGTTTGGCAACAAAAGGATCCATCTAAAACAGATAATGTAATGTGTACAGTTAGCAGTGTAATAAGATGGGAATAACAACACTTATTTCAACATTTTACAAAGGAGCATGAGGTGGAGTATTACCAGAGCCAAAAACACGTGCCGATAACCCTACATTCAAACACTGGCATGGCCCAGCAGCTGAACATCTGACAGGCTGCTTTAATGATGCAGAGAATTAACAATAAAATCACAACGTTAAAGTAAAAAAGAATTAGGTCCTGATTCGGATCTACTTGGATATACTTCTTCACTCGATGATGCTACACCTTTTCAAGTTCAGTGACAATCTGGCTGGTACTTTTTCCGTTCTCCTGCTAACAAACAGACAAACAAACCTAGAAACAAACTGAACTGAAAACAAATGAAGTCATCAGACTGTGATTTAAGAAATACCCTATTTTAAGGACATATTGCCTATCCCCATCCTAGACATCGAATAAAAGTCAGCCTCAAGGAAAGAAAAAGGTTAAAAATAAGTAAATGTATAGTCTTCCTTCTTTCTCCATTAAAAGCAACTGGCAATGTAATTTGGTAGTTTAACCAACGAATCAATAATCACTTTGCTTGTCTCCCTTCTTGATGCCGTTAAGACTCTGTGACTCCTAACTATGTGATTGGTGTTCTGTGTTAAAACTCCTCCAGTCAGCCAGGGTGGCATCAGCAGTTTAGTTACCTCTTTTACCTCTTTTGTTTCTTTCATGTTGAATTGTCCTCTTCCTGTAATGCTTTAATATAATCCAGGTGAATAAAGATCTCTTGTAATAGAGTAGTAGTGTGATTCTCATCCACTTTCTAAGATAAGAATTTAGACTTGAGAGCCCCCTCTGTGTTATTGGACAATATCTAAAGGGTGATAAGACCGATGAGTCCATCTGCGACGCTGATTGGATCGCACAATCGCATGCATCAGATGCACTATTAGTTCCATCACGCCATGACTCATGTTAGCCTTAATCTAATAGCCCTGACATGAGAGCGCAGTCCCACAGCCGGTGTCACGCTCCCCCCACACTGCCTTCAACCAGCACTGCAGACGCCTCTCTGTAACACTCAACAGATGCTAATTAACTTACAGAGAGCTATGATTACAGCAGCAGGAAATTGATTATTACTGGCTTCCAGCCGCAGCACACCCTACACTCCATTAATAGCCAGTGCATTAAAGATGCAACCTGTTGCTCGCAGGCTCGTTGAAAGGCTTTCTGCTGACAAGTGAAAACGGTATCCATCATCACAAGGCTTTAAAGTGGAAGTTTTGCATATCACATTAAATGCAGTAGCGCTGCCTCTGTTCAGATATCCTCCATGACCTTAAGCTCGGGATATATTCACTTACACTTGCTTTTGATGTGAATTCCAATAAATGCCTCTTTGCCCTTCTAAGCACATAAACCAATTTACTGACATGTTTATTCATTTGTATCTCCAACTGAGGCTCGGGCATACTCAAGTCTTTTGTATACTGAGCTGTTATTAATACAGCAAGGGCTCGATGTCCTCTGGGTCAATTTAATATAGCTCATCCACAGAAGCAGCGAGGATGGATCACTGCCTTTTTGAGATGAGTGGTGGTGGACTGGTGACCTTTTAAGGAAAGTTGCATCATCGCTGACTGACTGTTGTGAGTAAGCAAAGGTCAGGAACTCTGTCCGAATGTTGAACTCTCTTGTTCCTCACTTTCAACACATCAGACACAATATTGCTTTCCAGTGAGTTGATATTAATAAATTAGTTGAGAGTAAGATAATTACCATCACCTTGTTCTGGTCAATGGTCTGGTCATTTCAATGCTTTCGCTTTCACCCGATGATATCAATTATTTCTGTTCTTTCTGTACTTCCAGTCAAAAAAATAAAAGCTGCACATTGGAGGTTTGCCTTGCTCCCCAGATGAGAACGTTCAAAGTCATGTACATTCACTGTGATGTGGGCGATGCCCCCTATCAAGACACATAAAAGGAGAAATCTCTCAGCAGTGTCTGACTGCCAGACACAAAAGACCTGGTATTACACATAATTTTAGTGATT